ATTTGGCGCATCATAAAGAGGAAGGTGCGACAAAGAAGGCCCAAGACTATTGAACAGTTAGAGGCCTGTATTAGACATGAATGGGAGAGCATTCCTATTTCTAAACTGGAGAAACTGGTCTCCTCTGTCCCCAGACGTCTGTTGAGTGTTGTAAGAAGGGGGGATGCCACACAGTGGGAAAATGGACTAGTCCCAACTTTTTTGGGATTTGTTGACGCCATGAAATTTGGAAACAACAGATTTTTCCCTTAAAGTGATACATTCTCTCAGTTTAAACTTTTGATCTGTGACTTGTGTTCTATTCTGAATAAAATATTAGATGTTGGCACCTCCACATCATTGCATTCAGTTTTTATTCACAATTTGTTTAGTGACCCAACTTTTTTGGAATCCGGTTTGTATATGTGTGTGTATATATAGATGTGTGTGTGTATATATATATATATATGTGTGTGTGTGTGTATATGTATATATATTAGGGCTGCAACAACGAATCGATAAAATCGATAAAAATCAATGATTAAAAGCATTGGCATCGAATTTCATTATCGATTCGTTGTGTCGTGCGATTATGTATCCATCACGGCGCTGCGGAGCTGTTTTGTTCAACTGCAGTTCATTGTCAATGCTGACTGACTGAATAAAGTTTGAAAAAAAAAAAACTCTGCAGCGCGAGTCGAACAGAGCGAGGGGCGAGGCAGAGCAGGGGCTGTTTTCAAAGGAAAATAAGTAAATTTTACAAATGACCGACGCAGCGAAAACGGTTCAACCCAAGTCCTCCAAAGTGTGGGAGCTCTTCACAAAGATAAAAAATGAGAAACATGCAGCTTTGAAAAGTGACGACACGACACGGGAGAACCACGGAGATAAACGTAAACATGTCGGAGTCACGAGGAGGAGGAAGGAGCTGCAGCTGATACAACTCTTCATGTGTTGCAGGTGAGTCTCTACAATTTAACACATTGTTCTGTTTCAAGAGAGAAAACGTAATGTCAGTCTGTCTGGAAGATGAAGCTGTTTGTTTGTTTGTTTATCTGATTAATGACGGTGATAGAAAACGTGTGTTACTTTTTATTTAATTAAATTTAATTGGAACAAGCAGTGTTTAAATGTGATTTATAAATAAATCTAACACAAAGATAATAATTTAATGATTAAGCTTCAACTTTTAATTTGCTGGCAAAGTCTGAAGACACTGCAGGTATGGCAGGATGAATTGCATTTAAACAAGAATTAAAGTAATTTATTACATCTACTCAAATGTGTAGAATTAAGTATTTGATGTGTGTGTGTGTGTGTGTGTTTAATTGCTCTTTTAGCTACTTTTGCCTGAACTTAACACTGTAAGTGAAACAAGGCATTTCTTGAGTTGCTGTCAATTATAATATAATACATATTTACTCTCTCATTCCAGAAAACAACAACAACACTTCATGATGGACAGACATCATGGACACCACAGCACCAGCTGTCTTCACTGAAACATCCTGAACATGATCGTCACTGACATGAGGCCTCTGTCGATGGTTGAAGACGAAGGCTTCACTACAATAATCCACATTTTTAATCCAGGTTACACTCTTCCCTCAATGACACATTTTACAAAGTAGCTACATATTGTGCAGGTATAAATCATACATTTGTATATATTTTTATGTTCCTTTTTTTTTTTTTTTAAGTTATTTAACTTTTATTTTTTATTATTCAATATTTTACTAACAGAATAGTCAAATAGCAACCTGTTTTTTGTGTGAATTGCTATGTCAGTCAAATAATAATAATAATGTCATCACAATGTCAGCACTGTATGTTTCCATACAATGGTGAAATTAGTCTCTGCATTTAACCCATCCACCACCAGGTGGTGCAGTGGGCAGCTATTGAAAGCGCCCGGGGGACATTTTGGGGATGAGACGTGCTGCCCAGAGACGCCACGTGATGTGCAGTGACTGGGGATCGAACCTGGGACTTTCGGGTCCCAAGCCGGCTGCCCTGCCTCTACACCATCTCGGCCCCCAAATGTTCAATTTTGGAATAAAGGGGTGGAAATTAAAACGTTGGTTTTTTTTGCCGATTCATCGATTAATCGAAAAAATAATCGGCCGATGAATCGATTATTGAAGTAATCGTTAGTTCTAGCCCTAATATATTCATATATATACATATGTATGTATGGATGGTGCTGTTTTTGTATAACAAGCATGCCTGCAGCGCCAGCACGTTATGTCACGCACACTGTTAGAGTTTAGATTTGTGAAAATTTACAAATTTGCAGTGTTCGAGTGTTGTCATTGTGTTAGAGAGAGTTAATGTCATGAATAAATTTGACCTTAAACATAATCCAAGTTGAAGTGTTACATCATTTTCAGCCCCCTTTTGGAAACTGCATTTGGTAGCAGGCCAAATTGACAAAGACCATGCAGAATAACGTAGTGTTTTAATTCCACAGCAGAGGAAGCTATGAAGTCTCTGTAAGTATGTGTAGGGAAAAAATATTGGTATTGGTATCGGCCAAATAAGTTTTAACGTATCGGATATCGGCCAAAAATCCAATATCATGCATCCCTAAACAAAATATTTGCTAAAAGAATAAAAAAGTAAGCAGCGCTGTACCGTCGGATTATGTTTTGCTCTGACTGCTAACATTTTGAAAGACGATCCAAACTGTTGTAGCAAAGGTGCGTGCCCTGGGCTGATTGTTTTGGAGTTTCATGCCTCACCAGCACTGGTGTAGTGGGCAGGAAAGTAATGTTAGACTGGTCTGATCTGGGCCAACAACAGGGACCAGCTGTTTGCAGCTGTGAGCACAGAAACGTTTTCTTATCAGAATGTATTGGAGCCATTTGCTTTAGGATTATGATGCAGAAACAAACAAGAGCTGGAGCACACCTCACAGTGATGTATGGGCCTGAGTGTGTGACTCTTCAATATCTGCTGTGTTTGTTCAGAACCTCCAGTTTGTCCAGAAGCAGAAGCTCTCCATTTCCACAAACACACCTGCAAACAAGAAGGCCAGGTAGGTGCACAAAGTCTGAAAGGAGCTGTTCTTATCCTGTTTGGGTCAATGTGGATCGCTGTGTGTGCAGACTGGAAGAGATCCAGTCCCCCAGTAAGAAGCTCCCCCCAGAGTCCACCCCTTGGATTGTGTTTACAGGCTTTGAGCCCATGCAGGTGCAGCAGTACACCAAGGTAAAGCTTCATCCCACCATAGACTCACTGGTTTGTTTTTCCGCTGTGCTTCATGGTGTCTGTCTCTGCCCCCCTCCTGTCTGCAGAGGTTGCACGCTTTAGGTGGAGAAGTAGCCGACTGTAGTCAGAGCGCCACCCACCTGGTTGCCAGCAAGGTGACCCGCACCGTCAAGTTCCTCACGGCCATGTCTGTGGTGAAACACACCGTGACCCCAGAGTGGCTGGAGGAGAGCTGGAGGAGCCAGAAGTTTGTGGGTATGAGCTCGTTCCCCCCCTCAGATCGGGTGCTACGTGCAGGTTTAACTCTGTCTTGTTCCCGCTGCAGATGAGCAGAGTTATACTCTGAGGGATGCTGAGGCAGAGGTGTTGTTTAACTTCAGTCTGGAGGAGTCACTGAAACGAGCCCACAGTGCACCGCTTTTTAAGGTTAGAACCTAAAACCACAAAGAAGTCCTTTAAGGCAGCATCTCACCAGGCTGGGACTGGATATATTTTACACCTGTTCAAAATTCATGTGACTCGGGTAGGAAGATGAGAGCCTCCTTCAAACATTACAAAACATTTTGAAAACTCTCCCGCAAAAACTAGGCAACCTGTCACCAGTGGTGGGATGAAAATTATGTAGGGGGATATGGGGCTGGATATATATTGTTAATTATCACTTATGAGTTAAGCTCATAAGATATGCATGTACTATGCAAATAACCTTGTTGTGTGGGCACCACCTCTCTTGGAGAGGAAAAATCAGTCTCTATTTAACCCCAAATTAATGTAAACTGAAACGTGAATTCTTTTCTCGTGTTTAAAGGGCATCAAATCAGTTAATACACGCAGATATGCCACAATAATCACAAATTCAGTTGATTTTGTGTATTTTATTATAAAAATAATAATCTGTGATATATGTGATGAAAATTATGCATGACAAAAGTTAACTGAATAACAAATAGCTTTGCATCAAAGGTCTAATTGATGAGGAAACGTAAAAGGCAGATTTTGGACTGGTTCCTGTTTGTGAAGTGGTTAAAATTTTGTCTAAGGTGAGCTGTAGTTTGTCTGATAAGATTATCGTGATGTAGGGTCACCAGAAAGGCATTAATAAGTCTCCTACCAGGGTGAGATAGTCAGAGCATGTTTCCAACAGCTGCTTAAATTGATACCAGCAAGGCCTGAGATGCTCCGGTGACTGAGAGGCTGATTTTTCCTCAAAGTTCACCCATCATCGGTTGGAGGGACGAAGGTCCGGCCACTGGCTCTGAAGTCAGCTGGGATTTACCACTCTGCGGTGTGATGGTTCTGGTTCTGTCTGGTTCTATGTCTTTCTCTCATCCTGAGACATCTGCAGAAAGGATGCTTATCTCCTCAATTCCCTTCCTAGGATGTCTCTCTAGGAGGATGTGTCTTTCTCTGAAGTTTACTTGAAGTCCAGTGAAGTGTGTAGAAGTCAAGAAGTAGATGTGAAGAAGTGAAACTTAACTGTCTGTGTGTTACAGATTGACTTTGGTCCACCTCAGGAGGGGGTGGTCCTAACTCTTTGTCATGTTTTTTATAAAGGCCTATTAAATAAATATACTCCTTTTGTCTCTGTGTGCCTTAAAATTTACTCTTTTAAAAGAGACAATAAGACCAAATATATACTTAAAGAGATATTACTTAAAACACACATTTTCATGAATAAACATTCAGGTACAAACCGGATTCCAAAAAAGTTGGAACACTAAACAAATTGTGAATAAAAAGTGAATGCAATGATGTGGAGGTGCCAACATCTAATATTTTATTCAGAATAGAACACAAATCACAGATCAAAAGTTTAAACTGAGAGAATGTTTCATTTTAAGGGAAAAATCTGTTGTTTCCAAATTTCATGGCGTCAACAAATCCCAAAAAAGTTGGGACAAGTCCATTTTTCCCACTGTGTGGCATCCCCCCTTCTTCTTACAACATCCAACAGACGTCTGGGGACAGAGGAGACCAGTTTCTCAAGTTTAGAAATAGGAATGCTCTCCCATTCATGTCTAATACAGGCCTCTAACTGTTCAATCGTCTTGGGCCTTCTTTGTCGCACCTTCCTCTTTATGATGCG